GCCATATTCACGACGTTTCGGCCGGTGTACGCCCCGGCCTTTTTCAGGTGATTGAAATTTCGAACTCAACCCTTTATTTCGTACACCTGAGTAGATTGTTCTAGTTCCACGTGCCATGCCACTTCCGTTAGTCCCAGTATCAGTTATCTCCATTTAACTCAACTCTCCAAGTTTTCGTTCACCTCTGCTGTAGCCGGGTATTGAACTCACAGCTCACTGCACATGGAACCACCCCGGTGGACGAAATAAAGAGTTCAGTTCGAAATTCCAATCACCTGAATCAGGACGGAACGGTCGTAAATATGGCAACGAAGATGAGGACAATAATCCGAACAATGTAAATAATTAGAATACCTCGTCTCAGAAATATCGACAGTGAATATAGGAGTTGGTTAGACGTGTTACTGTCACCTTGTGGTCAGTGGTTCAACCCGTGGAACAGTTAGTGAAACACTGGTTCAGCGGGAACAAGCAATAATTGACATCACATATACAAAATGGCAACCAACAAATACCTCAGAGTAGCAAAATCATGGACATCTTATGACGGCCAAAAACTTTGCCAAAACGTCGTTTTTTTAACATCTAGATGAGAACAATAGTTTTAAATAATGTATATTTACAATTATACATCCAAATTAGCACAAGAGTTTGCTTCTCACTGGGTGACTCATACTTGGGGCCTTGAGTCAGATCAACCAACATTGGCTTGGTTTGGTTTATTTTGTTTTACGGCATATCAACCTCAATGGGTTATTCAATGCCGACAACATTTTTTGTTGCTGGTAATATTTTGTTTTGTCAAAAATCTATTTTTGGTAATATTTTTCTTTCAAAATTGTATTGCTGGTAATAGTTAACTATTTGCCCATAGCTGGGACCCTAACAGGTGCTACCACCTCGGGTCAGGGTGAACCTGGTAACACCAGCAATTAAGTGGTTCTACGCTCCTCAAAACCTTCTGATTAGAGGCCTTGCTGCTGGTTGTAGTTTATCGTCTTACCCAGGACGCGGATGCAGTTTATCGTCTTATGACGCGGATCGTCTTACCCAGGACGCGGATGTATTTTATCGTCTTACCCAGGATGATCAACCAATGTAGATGACTTCATAAAAACAGGATTTCGAGTGCTGATTTTCTAGGCATGCAGTAACCGATTCCACTTGGAAAAATGACAATGCAATCTTTCTACCCAACACTTTGCTTGTTTACCTTATGCCACAATAAGAGGAGTAAATACGGTCAAATGATTAAAAAAAAAAAAAAAAAGAATTTTTTTTTTTACTACTCAACAAATATTAACCTTAAATCATTAAGGAGGGACTAATATTAATTTGTATTACTATAATATTACATTCTACAGAGTTCACAGATCTACAGTTATTTTTAATCATTTCACCCCAAGCAAGGCAATAAAGCCACTAAGGTTCAAGAGGTTAATGAGCGCGAAAGTATATGTAAAGAAATGAAAGACAAAAGTAAACATTATGGATAAAGAACAATAAGAGAACAGGAATTAAGAACTTTGCATTTAAATTTTTGAAGATCAAAGTTGGCTGGAAACCAAGAAGCAGGAATAGTTCCACAAGCAAGAAGTGCGAGACAAGAAACTATTAGCACAGAACTTACGGTTACATGTAGCAATTTCAACTGTACGATGATGAGAACTTTGCCTCCAATCTAGTACTGGGCTTAAATTCAAAATCTAGCTACCAAAGAAGAAAGGCCATATCGATTATCATGAAAATCGATATAGAAAAGGCACTGGGAAACGAGTTACTAGGTTAGGTTCAATAACGTTGCAGATTCTTTGTATTTTATCAAGAATCCCTGAATAGAAGCACCAGACCAAATAAGACAGCAATATGATAGTCTAATGATTCTGGAGAAAAAAACTGTCTCACACGACACAGTGATCAAATTTTTCGGACAGCAAACTCAGCTATTGATTTAATATAATCTTTCCACTTCATGTCAATTGAAAACGCTAAACCGAGAAGTCGCAAGGAGTCACTCTCTTGGAGGTTAGCATTAGCCATGTTGATGGAAGGTAAACAGGTTCTCTCAGATGATTAATGAACAATCTTATTTTGTGACAGAATGGATTCCCAGCTGTGATAGGCGGAAGTACATAGTGAAGTAAATGTTAAAGGAATTTATCTAAGTCAAGTGACTAGTAGTAATGGGTGCTACTATAGTATGATATCTACCGAGGTATTTGCGACCTACCGTAAATGACGATCCACTCATTATTGATGGAAAATATCCAGGAAAAATGATGACCTGCTTACTGTTTTTTTAATGACATCAGATCAGTTTTCAAACATTAAAATCACTATTTGATGATTTAAAAAAAAAAAAAAAAGTTGTATAAAAAAAAATTGTTAATAATTTTAATACATAAGCTGTTCACTGCCTTTAACCCTACTCCTAAGACTAACATATTTCATACTTCCAACAGTTTGTAAATATACCATAGAAAATAAATAGTAGATATCCTACTATAGTAGAAAATAAACAGCAGATATACTATAGTAGCACCAAATAATGATTTATAGATTTTGCAAAAGGGTTTGATAAAGTGAATCACAAAAAACTGTCTGAACTTTCAGGGAAGAATATTAGAATAATCCAGAACTTATACTGGAAGCAAACAGCCGGCATACGTATAGAAAATGAATTCAGTAAATATACAAAAATAGAAAGGGGTTTAAGACAAGGATGTGTCGGCTCACCGGACTTATACAGCGAATACAGTGAGATGATTCTGAGGGAATTAGTAGTCCCACTAGGATTCATTATTGGCAGCCACAATCTTAACATTAGATATGCACATGACACAGAAATAAAAATATAGGAACTCCTTCAGAAAGTAGTAAAGAAACGCTAGAAGAAAGGATTGAACAATCAAGAGTGTGAGACTCACCTTCGCAAAGAGGTTTCCAACTAGCGTCCAGTTGGCTGACAAAATAAAACAGTGTTGTAACTCAATACTCAATTGTAACTCTTTATTTTTGTCGGCCAACTGGACGCTAATTGGAAACCTCTTTGCGAAGGTGAGTCTCACACTCTTGATCGTTCAAGCATCAATTTTTAAAAAACAGAATTCATAGTTGTCAACAAAAAGGTACAGTCTAATATGCAAATTAGAAATTGGAGATCCCGAAACCTAACAAGTTCAGCAATTTAAATATGTGTTTTAATAGAGGACGGACTGTGCGACACTGAAATCCGAAGAAGCTAAAGATGCCTCCGAAACACGAATCAAAATATTAAACGTGAAAATCTCGTTAGAAAAGAATACTAAACCGTTAAGTGATATTAGATACCTCCAGGAGATCGCTAAGAAAGAAAAAAAAGAGCATAGCATGATGAAAAAGACGCCAAATTTGACGAAAACAAAATTTTATCGTCTAAATGTTTATATCATTATTAAGAGGAAAGATCAAAGTTTATTTTAATTATTTTCTAAAATGTTTCCTTCTTTTTAAAACATTCTAAATTTTGATTAAAAAAAAACCTTTCTCTTTGTATCACCGGAAATAGTAAAATAACAGACAATTTTTAGCACGTTTTTTTTTTTTTTTTTGACACATTAATTTGGAGAATCTTGCAAAAATAAAAATATTTGTCGGATGTTAATGAAACTTTCGGAAACTAATCACAGATAATCGAAATTATTATAAATATTTATTTTTTTTATTAAAGTCATGGCAGAAATATTTATTACCCACCCTCATAAATAATTTTATGAGAACGCTAGAAATTCGATCGCGTCAGGTTTAGTGATTACAATAGTTAAAAGCACAAGGCTTTGAGGAATGCAAATCATGTTTTTTTTTTGTTTGTTTGTTTTTAATTGGACCCCCACTAACTGAAAATCAGCTCTGAATTGTAACATACAAAACTCAATAAAACAAAGATATTTAATTTCAAATGCTTTTATTTGGTTTTAGTTGTTTTTATGAATATGGAAAATATTTTCTGAAAGCAAAAAATTTTTTCGGTGAAAAATGAATTTTTAATACAATTATTTGTTATTTTTAATCATAATAGATTTTTACATTTAATTTTTTAAAATATTATAAAATTAGTAAAAAGCCCCATCGGGTTTCCTAATTGTCCTTATGAGATAGAACTTTAAGCGCGTTGTAAATTGTATCCTTTTGACTAATCAGAATGTCTGCAGTAATTAAGAAATGTAATTTTGTGTTTATAATCGGGCTGTAATTATAAAGTACGGAAGACCAACCAGAATACAATTAAGTTGCGTTATTTGAGTTAAGCATTGTTCTCCGCTGTTAAGGCTTTTACTTTTGCGAAACACGTGTGGAGAAGTTAATTTGATTTTTCAATTTCAACTGAGAAGGGTACCTACAAGTATTAGTATCATCTTATGAAATTTATATGATCTTATTTTTATATTAATCTCAGTTATGACATTTTTCCATAAATGAAATATCAAAATTAATAAAATGAATGGAAATACAAATAACACAGTAAAATGTAATAAATGTACATAAAATTATAGTATTTTATGTACACTTCTGATAAAATTTCATAGGGCATCTATAAATTAATTAGATACCTTTCTTATGAAATATGAAATTTCATCTCACTCTTAACAGTCTTATTTTAATTTCTTTATAATATATTTTCCATAAAGCATTGTAAACGTAAAGGTGAAAGCTAAATACAAAAAAAACAAAAAAAAAAAAATTAAAGCGCAGAAAGTTTTCCTTAAAAATACTAAATAAAATAAAAATAAATAATTTGTTCACTTTAATATAAATTACTTCACTTTTCTCCTTCCGTAGAACAAATTAGTCTCACGGAATCCGTCAATATATCATTCATCACCGCAGAAATAAATGGCAACCTACTGCGGGAAAAATCTGCCTCGTCAGTCATGTATCGAAAGATACATAAACGCCTAAGCGTGTATCACGCATGACACATAACTGACTGATGTCGTTTTAGTTTCAAATTAATTCGTGTCCTATCGAGCCACAGGCCTCCCTGAAGAAGAAATCCAATGGAAGGCTGAGAGAGAAAGAAAAAAGAGAGAAAAGGAGAGAGAAAAGAAAAAAGAGAGAAAAGGAGAGAGAAAAGAAAAAAGAGAGAAAAGGAGAGAGAAAAGAAAAAAGAGAGAAAAGGAGAGAGAAAGAAAAAAGAGAGAAAAGAAAAAAGAGAGAAAAGGGAGAAGAGAGAAAAAGGAGAAGAGAGAGAGAGAGAGAAAAGGGAGGGGAGAGAGAGAAAAGGGAGAAGAGAGAGAGAGAGAAGAAGGAGAGAGAGAGAAAAGGAGAAGAGAGAGAGAAAAGAGAAAAGAGAGAGAGAGAAAAGGGAGAAGAGAGAGAGAGAAAAGGGAGAAGAGAGAGAGAGAGAAAAGGGAGAAGAGAGAGAGAGAGAAAAGAGAAAATTTTCTGTTTTTAAATTGCCCGCAAAAGGTAGATAAACCGTCAAAATCACCCCATTGAAGTGAAATTTCAAGTTCTTATTTATCAAGTTTTCATAAATGTGTGCACATAAATTTCACAAGCACTCACTCTGTATTTCAAACGAAGTAAACAGATTCTTTTGGTCGTCCAGAGAGAAAAGGGGGCGCCATCTCCTTTGATATATCCAGAAGCAAAGTTGCCTCGAGGTAACAATGCTCAAGTGATGCAGAGAAGCCAGTCCCGCTGGACATCATTTCATGTAGTCAATAAGTTACGCTGGCAAACAAGTTACACAGGTGGAAATGAAAGTCAATCTACTGGGTAGACACAAAGTAGTGGGATATACAATAGGGACTGAACTCAGTAAGTAGTACAAATATCTCATGGTTTTAATGCTTAGATTCTTTGCTGTAGCTCTGTTAGTAATCAAGATCCGTCGGCAATACAAAATGATCGAGGAAATCATTACTGTTCTAACGGTTTTATTTTATTAATTCTCATTGTTGTTCGTCTCTTATTGTACCGACAAAGACATTGTATCTTTTATGTTACATAATATCTATATCAGAAGGTGCCCGGGTATGGCAGAAAAATCGATAAAACTGAAGGTGGGTTGACTTTTTGCGAAATCCAAGACAAAAAAAAGACAAAAAACAAAACAAAAAAAAGAAAAAAAAACAAAAAAAAAGACAAGAAACAAAAAACAAAAAAAAGACAAAAAACAAACAAAACAAAAAACAAAAAAAAGAAGAAAAAAAAACAAAAATAAAAACAACAAAACAAAAAAAGACAAACAAAAAAACAAAAGAAAAAAACAAAAAAAAGACAAAAAACAAGAGAAAAAAAGACAAAAAACAAAAAAAGACAAACAAAAAAAAGACAAGAAACAAAAACAAAAAACGAGACAAAAAAAGACATAAAAAACGAAACAAAAAAGACAAAAAAACAAGACAAAAAAAAGAGACAAAACCCTAAAAAAAGAGACAAAAACAAAAAGAGAAAAAAAGAGACAAAAAACAAAACAAAAAAGAGACAAAAAACAAAATAGAAACAAAGAAACAAAAAAAGAGACAAAACAAAAAACAAGAGACAAAAAACAAAAAAGACAAAAAAAACAAAAGAGACAAAAAAAACAAAAGAGACAAAAAAAACAAGAAAAAAAGACAAAAAACAAGAGAAAAAAAAAAAGACAAAAAACAAAAAAAACGGGTTTTTCGAGCTACTTAAAATTTAGAAAAATCTTTGATAACATCTACATTTTTTATCCGATTTTCTTCACACATACAAAAAAAAAAAAAAATTTGCCATCATACAAGAAATAAGATAATGCGGTTGTAATCTTGCTTGTGGTTTTTCGTTATGCGCGGAAAACAAGCAAGACTAAAACCACGCTATCTTATTTCTGTGACAAACTAGATCCAAAAACCGCTTTTGCCATTAAGCCAATAGTTTCTTCACATGATTCCATCCTAAATTTGCATTCGAACAACATTTGATGCAAAGCTTGCTTGAGAAGGATTATTGAAGTGTTAAAAGGGAAAATTTCCGAAGAGCCTCTTATTAACCCCACTTTTACGTGCGAAGGAGGGGTGCGTTCATTTGAATCAAGCTCTGACGCTTCATCCCTGTTTTTGTTTGTCTCGCACTTGTCGCCAGTGGAACTCCCTCCTCCATTTCTTGTTTCCTGATAACTATAACCTCCAACTATTTAAATGTAACGTCAATCAACGTCTCCAGACGCCCTGATCTATCCCCGAACCGTCTCTTCATCCTTTCCTCTATCACTCATCTTTGTCCTCGCTCCTACTCTGAAACCCTTTGCGTGCTAGTGGCTTCCCGCCTTGCTTGGGGTTGAATGCTTACAATAAATAAATAAATGAAATAAAATAAAACGCCGAGCAAATTATTGCATAACAATACGAAGTTTAGGCTATTTTTTACGCAAGGCCACACCAGTGAGGTACATCGTAAAGATGGTATTTGTCAATCCACCCACGGGAATCGAATGTGGCACAACGCCTTTTTAATGTGGGTATCTCTGAGCCCGTAGGCCCAGCCAAAAATAAATAACCATCCAAACCCGCCGAGGCGGGGCAGTTCCGTCAACCTCCCCTAACGAAACCCAACCCTTCGGCGGAGCTTCGTCCGGGTTCCTCAGACACCCGACCCGGCAGCTCACAAAGCGCTGATACTACACTTTGATCCTAGCCACCGGGCCGAGCGGGTATTCTATCTATAGATACTAAAAAAAAAAAAAAAAAAAGATTCTTGTCTATCAGAACTTTCTCAACACGAAGAAGCTTTTTTTTTGGGTGGGGGGGAGTTTTCAAAACTAAAGTTGCCAAGACTAAAAGGAGAATAAGCCATGCTTGTCGACAACACATTCCATGCCGTCATTCATCTTCCATTTGATACAACAAGCCAACCTTATAAAAATCTTGATCCTCCTCTTCACCAATGAAATATGAAGGGAATGAGAAGTCCACCTCATTCCCTTTATATTTCATTGGTAAGGAGGAAGTGCCTCTTAGCTTCAGCCCAGAAGAGTTACAACAGTTGGGACAAAACTGAGGCAGAGATACCAGGACCCTTAACCTTGTAGAACAGTGCTTCTCAAACTGATATGGTGGACCGGTATTTTTTTTCTCAATGTATCACGTACCTGTAATATTTCGGGGTAATATTAATTTATACCGGAAATGATATATATAAAAGTTGACTATTTTTTTTTATCTCCCATTTATTTTGCAAAAAATATTTCAATATCCAAACAATGTAAAAAGTAATAAAAAAATATTTCAATATCAAAATGTAAAAAGTAATAAAAAAAATATTTCAATATCAAAACAATGTAAAAAAGTAATAAAAAAAATATTTCAATATCAAAACAATGTAAAAAGTAATAAAAAAAAATGTTTCAATATCAAAACAATGTAAAAAGTAATAAAAAATAAGCAGTTTATTAACACAAAAACAAAAATTATATAACCTTAATCATTACAAATGATTCCTTAGCACAACAACAACTCTTTCACGTAGGCTCACATATCATTTTAATGACAACAGCGCAATAAAGAATAATCTTGTAACAATACACAACACCATTAATAACCCATTCAAATCATCCGACATAAGAAAAATCTTAAAAACACCAAAATCCTCTATAAAAAAAACAAAAAAAAACACTACAAATTCTGGAAGCCATCCTCATCAGAAACCAGAAACCCACGAGCCACGTACCGGTAGCTGATGGTTCGCGTATCGACACCGGTCTATAGATCACTACTTTGAGAAGCACTGTTGTAATTTTTTTTAAGACATATTGAAGAAGCATCCAGCCAGATATGGCAGCAATATTCAATACAAGGAGGAATAGTAGTTTTATAAATGTGCAAGATGGATTTTGGCGAGAAAAATTATCTGGTACGACATAATAAACTGAATTTCCGTTCAACAGACTTAGCGATTGATTCAATATAATCATTCTATTTCATGTCAGAGGAAGACCAACAAAGTGCAGCGAGTTCCTCTTCTGGCCGTTACGAAGTTTGTCAATAAATATTCCTTTTTAGTCACACCTTCGCGCTTTAGCGTGAAGTCGGTTACTGCAACTTACGTCAGATTTTACGTCCTGTTGCTTAGCAGTCTGTAGATGACTGGTTGTTGCTTCCGGAGGTGACTCAATCAATCGTGATCGCCGAGTCGTTTGAGATCGAACTCCACATCTATTGATTTTGGGTCAACTCAAAATTGCAATCATACATATAACATACTACTAAACACATTTTGCATCAGTCAAAGCACAGTTATCTGTAATTCATCGGTCAGAATCATGTGCCTTGCGGCAGGTGTGTCTGCAGGATTACACCAACTTCTCGGCTAGAGACCTTCTCTCAACGCTCGCTCGGTGCCGTGTTAATAAAGTATAAAAGAAAAGGACTCTCACATTTTCTCGCTCTCTTAACCACACTCCGGGCGAACTGACTTCTTAATTCCAACCGAACTACGCTGTGCATCACACACACACACATATATATATATATATATATATATATATATATATATATATTATTATATATATATTTATTCGCGCGAATTTTTCTATTGCAAATTCTATTATTCTATGTATGTAAATATATAAAAATTCTCCACGAATTTATTTTCTAAGTTATCAAGCGAAGCTGGTCCGCTACAGATTTTAAAGAATAAAAAATAGATATCACCGGAGATAATTTGTATCTCATTTTTGACATGATTGGATTTATTCCATCTATCGTTCTCATCCTTATTATAGATATATTTTTTTTTTTTTTTTGACAGGGCATTTCGGCCATCATCAGGTGTCCATTGTTTTGGCTAATATAGAATATGACGCGTTTGGCGATTCGTAATCAAAAATCGAAAATTGCTTTTTTCACTAGAAATTATTTATTACATCATATCGAAGTATTTTACAAAAAATTAGAGCCGATCACACAATATTTCAAGCTCAATTTAGGTTTATAGTTCGTAACCATACAATGAGATGAGGTAACTGACATAAACCGTAGATTTGTCTACAGACTATCATTACATTGCATTGTTACATAATTATAGTGAAATCATTAAAGTTTTTTGTCAAAATTTTATTATTGGTCGTATATTAATTTGAAATATCCCATTTTACAGGCTTTATTTTTTAAGTGGAATAAGATCATTCTAAATTTCAGAATTTCACTACTGCCCATGAAAATGACTGGAAGAAAGCGATGTAAAAACAACAATGGAAAAGAGAGGTAACAAAGCATAAACGAAATAACTCCAGTTTGTTCAACTTAGGAAATTTAGCATTACAGCCAAGCTATTGTAAAATGCTGCCAATAACAAAGAAGAAAATTAAAAATACCTAACAACAAATCAAATATAGCATCAAAATTTATATTATTTTTATTGATTTGTTATGTAACTAAATACATAATTGTCAACAATGTTTCCATAAATTTTGA